TGCTTTGCCAGCGAAACTGACCCCATACCAGGTCGGGGCCAAATGCTCACACAGACCCCAAGTATAGGTGAAGCAAAATGGCGTTTATTAAAATGTAGCAGGCACTTAAATATTCTCGTCCCGCTTTGTCTACACCCCTTGCATACACGCTGTCCTATTATGGGACAGCACCTGGCAAGCCCTGAGCATAGGGAACCTGACCCCGTCACACACCGTCTCCTCGCCACGCCTACTACACCCTTTTTTGAAAATTAAGAATTTGTTCTTTTACATTTCTTAATGGTGTTTTATTTCACACCCAACAGGACAGCAAAAGAGGTAGCAACACAGCACATTTCTGTTTGCATTGAATTATGCCAAGTGTGCTTTAAGTGAAAACTGTACTGCATAAATTCAAGCATACCTTATCCCCATTTCACACAGACACCTGTAAATAATAATAAAAAGTAGTAATTGAAAAAAAGCCCATCTACATTTCCATGGAACTATGTTCAAATGAAAGTCATGACTGTGCTTAAGCTCTCACAGCTATGCTACATATGACACTAAAGACAGTAAAACTGCAGGAAAACTGTGAGGAACTGCAGAAATATGAAACTGATTAGGAAATAAAATGTCAGATGAAACTCAGTATAGATAAAGAAAAAAAGGGTACACATGAATACCAGGAAGGGAATTTAAAAAAGAGTAAACAGTCTGCATGTCTAAAGGTTCCCTTCTCAAAAAAATGAGACAAAAGTTTCAAATACAGAAGTTATTCCTCATCCTTGGGCAGCCAAAGAATACTTTAATTAACATATTTCAGCATTAGTTACAGTAGTACCAAGAGGAAATTTAAACATAAATTTTATACCTGCAGAATCATGACTGGTACAAACACCATACTTAATTGTTTACTGCGTAGGAACATAAAGATAGTAAAAATCAGGTTTAAAATAAACAAGAAGCACCAATTCTTTATGTCACAGACATCAATTAATACAAGCTGCTTTTATTCAGGAAACATATAGTCCCAAGGAAACTGGACAAGTAGTGGAAAAAACAGCACTAGAGATTACTAATAGACAAACCACATGATGTTCAGGAAAGCCTGGAATAGAAGACATTTGGAAGCTAGAATACAGAAGGAAAAGAACCAAACATGCCTGTATTGTTCTTATTCTTCCTCAGGCATCTGCTTTTGACTACAGAAGAAAAGCTATTGTGTTACAAAAACCTTTAGCTGGAACCAGTATAGCTATTCTTGTTTTCAAGACTTCAAGGTATTTGACTCCCTACTTTTAAATCTAAGTTAAACATTACCAATTAGCTCCATGTGATAATAAAAAATTTTATGTATTTACAGTTTTATAGCTGTCAAATTGAGTTTTGAATATCTAAAACATGCCCTGACTCCATCATTCTGTATGAGACATGGTGCACCAGAAAAAGTCTACGTGCATAAAAATGACAAGTTCATCAATGGTAAAATGACAGGCACAACTTACCTAGACAGCACTGCATGCATATTACATTTGCAAGATGGTTTTAAGCATTTCAGGGACATAAAACCAACACTGAAACCACAATTAATGTAACAGAAGTTAGAAACATTTGTGTATTTCCATTGGTAAAGTGATAAATAGCAGTGGCAAGGGAAGCCATCAGAATTACTATATTACTTAAACGTCTGGTAACTGAAAGAAAATACCAACAATGCACTAGCATGAAAAAGCACTCTAATTTCAGAAGCATTTGAGGTACATTTGCTGTTTAAATTTTAGTTCCTTGGTTCTCTTCAGAAACAAATGATGACCTGTCAACACTGCAAGAACGCTTTTCTGGTTTTGACATGCAGCACTGAGTCCATCTAAAAGTAAAATAACCAACTGCTTTTTTGTTTATTTTAACATTTTCAAGTTTTTCTGATTTCTCACATTTTCTAGGATACATTTCATTGTCAATCTGTTCATACTACAGATGCTTTAATACTTTCAAAAACATTACACCCAGTATTCAAAAGATTTAACACAGATTTACAAAAGATTTTAAACGTGTATGAGTGAGCTAAATGATACTACTTACATACATCTCTCCCAGCTTGGTTATCTGGAATTTTTTACACCTTCCTGGAGTGATTTCTAGGCCAGAGTATTTGGAAATTACCAGTGCTCACTAATCCAGAGGAATGTAATAGAGAGGTTAAGAGTGGAGGCAGCCTGGGCTGTAGTGACCATGCCTTGGTGGAGTTTGTGATCTTGAAGAATTAGGGCCTGGCAAAAAGAAAAGCTAGGACCCTGTGCTTCAGGAGAACAAACTTCTGGCTGCTCAAAGAACTGCTGAGTGGACTCCCCTGAGAAACTGTCCTTAGGGGCATGGACACAGAACAGAGCTGGCAGCTCTTTAAGGACACCCTTCTGAGGGCGCAACAGCTCTCTACCCCCAGCAGAAGAAGTCAAGCAGGGAGGCAAGCGACCGTCATGGCTGTGCAAGGACCTGCAGCTTAAACTGAGGGAAATGAGGGAAATGTACAGAAAGTGGAAGCAGAGTTGTGTATCCTGGGAGGAATACAGCGCTGTTGTCCGTGTGTGTAGAAATAGGAATAGGAAAGCCAAGGAGCAGATGGAGCTGAACTTGGTGAGGGATGTGAAAGGTAATAAGAACAGGTTCTACAGGTACATAGGAAGGAGGAGCCAGGCCAAGGAGAGTGTTCCCCCTCTGATGAAAGGTAATGGGGAACTGGCTTCCTCAGACATAGAAAAAGCTGAGGTACTCAATGAGTGCTTTGCCTCTTCACAGGTGGTTAGGCTTCCCTTGTCTGCCAGGACCATGAGCCTCTGGGTGAGGGTGTGGGGAGTGGTTTCTGTCCCACTGTGACAGTGGATCAAGTCTGAGTCCTTCTCATGAAATTGAATGTATCTAACTCCATGGGGCCGGAAGATATCCATCCTAGGGTTCTGAAAGAGATGGTTGACGTGGTTGCCAACCCGCTCTCTGTCATATTTGAAAAATCATGGATGTCTGGTGAAGTTCCAGGTGACTGGAAAAAGGGAAATGTTTTTTTAAGAAAGGGAGAAAGGAACACCCTGGGAACTACTGGCCGGTGAGTCTCACCTCTGTGCCTGGGAAGATCATGGAGCAGATCCTAACAGAAGCTATGTTAAGGCACATACAAATAAAGAGGTGATTTGAGACAGCCAGCATGGCTTCACTAAGGGCAGATCTTCCCTGACCAATCTGGTGGCCTTCCGTGATGGAGTGATGGCTTCAGTGGATGGGGGGAAGGGCAGTGGATGCCATCTACCTGGACTTCTGCAAGGCCTTTGACATGGTCCCTCACCACATCCTTCTCTCTAAACCGAAGAGGTGTGGATTTGAAGGATGGGCTGTTTGAAGGATTAGGAATTGGCTGGCTGCATGCAGCCAAAGGGTTGTGATCAATGGTTCTTTGTCAAGCTGGAGGCTGGTCACAAGCGATGTCCCTCAGGGGTCAGTCTTGGTTTGCGGATGACACCAAGCCGAGCGGTGTCATCGATTCATGTCAATTCATGGGAAGGAAGGGAAGCCATCCAGAGGGACCTGGACAGGCTGGAGAAATGGGCCCATGAAAACCTAATGAGGTTCAATAAAGCCAAATACAGGGTGCTGCACTTGGGTTGGGCCAGTCCCAGGTATTTATACAAGCTGGGTGAAGATCTCCTTGAGAGCAGCCCTGCAGAGAAGGACTTGGGGGTTCTGGTGAATAAGAAGCTGGACATGAGCCAGCAGTGTGCGCCTGCAGCCCAGAAGGCCAACTGTGTTCTGGGCTGCATTAAAAAAGGGGCGGCCAGCAGGGAGAGGAAGGTGATTGTCCCCCTCTACTCAGCTCTCGTGAGGCCCCATTGGCAGTACTGCATCCAGGCCTGGGGCCCATGGTACAGGAAAGAAAGACAGACATGGAGCTCTTGGAGCACATCCAGAGGAGGGCCACTAAGATCATCAGAGGGCTGGAGCACCTCTCCTACAAAGAAAGGTTGAGGGAACTGAATTGTTTAGCTTGGAGAAGAGAAGGCTCTGGGGAAGCCTCCTTGGGGCCTTCCAGTACTTGAACAGGAGCGTGTAAATAGGAAGGGGAATGGCTGTTTACAAGGGTGGATAGTGATAGGACAAGGGAGAATGATTTTAAACTGAGACAGGGGAGGTTTAGGCTAGCTATTCTTCTTCACACAGAGGGTGGTGACACACTGGATCAAGTTACCCAAGAGGGTTGTGGATGCCCCATCCAAGGAGGCATTCAAGGCCATGCTGAATGTGGCTCTGGGCATCCTGGCCTAGTGGTTGGCAAACCTGCCCAAGGCAGGGAGGTTGAAACTTGATCATCATTTTGGTCCTTTTCAACCCAGCCCATTCTATGATTCTATGAAGTAATGTTAAGACATCTTGCCTGTTTGATCACTTTCTGTAATGCTGTGACCCAGAGTATGTGATGTAAACTCAAAGGAACTTTTTTGTCTGCACAACTAAAGATAAGGTTCATTTTTATGTGTGCTTCCCCTATCAGCCATGGAGCTTGCTTTGGGTTCTATTAACACCACTACATACCTTAAAAGCATTCTAAGTTGGAAAAGCTAAAACAGTAGCAGAGGACAAACACAAGAAAATTTTCTTCCTGTGAAGAAACAATTCCTGGACGCAAGGACATTCACTGGATGATAACATGCTCAATAGTTCACTGCATATACTAGAAAAATTTGTTTTTGCATCAGTGGAGATTCCTTGTGCTGAACGAGAAGACACACCTACACCAAATGACTGTTTAACATTCTCAACTAGATCTGTCCCTTCTTGTAATGCTTGTAATTACTAGGAAGTAGCAATATATGCTTAATATTTTCAGGTTGAGTGTTCAGAACGTAAGTAAACAAATAGCATTTGATATTCCATGTTATCTAGGTTTCAAACTTACATCTCTGCATATACCAAAATTCCTTTCTAAATCAAGTTAAAAACACTTTTTCCAACAGAATTAGAAGGACAAATCATTATCTTTATAAAAGTGCTTTATTTCTTACTTTCAGAATGTGACTTAAATGACTTAAGTCATCATCTGTACTGTAATTGAAATGAAGTCAATAGGGGCTTTTTTCCTATTTTTCTCATAGATAAAAGCATCCACTTATTTCTACACCAATTCAATAGGAGCAACAGAACACACTTCTAAAGTATGCATTAGCAAGCTATATTCATGATAACAACATTCACTGTTAAATACTAGCAATTTCAACAAGCCTTCAATCTGTGACACTGTTTAAAAATCCTGGATGCTGAAGAAGAGCAACTGCAGTAAATTCAGTCCTGGTTCATAAAAATAACCAAGTATTCAAGTGTGGTAAGGTTATTGGTGGGCCTATTTAAGAAAACCAAACTTTAAGCTCTTCCATACATCACTTTTTTCAAGATCACTTGCAGAGACATTCTGAAACCTTTAGATACAATTTCACTTTGTATTTCTGAGTAGTGGCCAATGTTTAAATCCTTTATTAACTCCACAACTTTCAATTCTTCTTACAGAGGAGTCTTCTACCACATCAGCTTGTCATATTTTCAGCAGCCTAGAAAAAAAAAAACACATTTAGTCAGCAAAAAACAGACATCATTTATGTTGTAGATTTGAAGCCAGTTATGAGATAAAAAGGGAAAATGAAAGCAACACAAATAATAAAACAGCTAAAACAGACGAAATAGAACATCCCTCAATCATGTACATGCACAATTAAGCTTATACACACATTAGAATATGTAGGCAAATAAAATACGCACAAGCATAGAAGAATTAAAAATAGTCAAAAAATTGAAAAATGATGTGGGAAAAAAAAGCCCTGAGTAGTATCTATCTAGTCAAATCTGAAAGCTGAGTTCTGTAAGGATCAGAACATAGTCTTCAAAAACAGGTATATAAACAACATAAGATACCATGGAAAAGGAACCATAATGTTTAGGTAGACTGTAAAGCATCAATATCCTTTAAAGGGCAGATGAGGATTTTTTAACTATAGTTATCTTCCCAAAGTTATTAACCAAAGTTATATAAGGCTTTATGATGCACAAACACTATGAAATGCTGTAATTTGTTTTTTGGAAGATGTAAATCACAGGCTAATGAGGTTAGCAATGTGTGGAGACTACGTTAGCCACAACAGCTTCATGAACTTGCTTACAAGTGTTGCTGCACACTATGAGGCCTGAGGCTGTATAAGGAGCTGATATGGGCTGAAGAAGAAAGCTGCAATGCAGTCAGGACATGATGCAGATAAAGGGGCAAACAGTGGCTGAAAGCATCCAGAAGATAAATCTGTATTTTTTTTTTTTTTTTACTTTAAAGTTTCTAAGTTTAGAAACTGAAGTATAGCAAACTGAACCATGGATCCAATTCTCTTAAAAAGCATGTGTTTTTTAGGCAACAACATTACCTTTAGAGCTTCTGTAGCCTTACGCAGTTCTTTAATAACAGAAGATAGTGCTTCTGGGTTGATACCTTGTTCACAGAGCCGCACACAAATAGACAAGGTCTCCATATCCAACCCAGTGTTTAATATTCTTGAAATCTCAAACAGAACTGCAAGAGAAAAAACAAATTAGTCCCTACAGTGATCAGAACAGTTATTCATCAAAACTGAATTTCTACTGTAGAGCATGGAGGTGGCAGACATGGAACCTCAACAGTACTCATCTTTGGTTTTCCAATCTATAAGGCAGAAGTCGCAGGTTCTGAATGACTTTAATATAATGCTCTTCTGATACAGAAAATGGTGAGTTAAAAAAAAAAAAATCAGTTATTAAAATGCTTGCTGATTATCTGAAAGATAGGCTATAAAAACAGCTGCTTTTGAACACCCAACACTTACTGAAAGTCCTACTGAAATGGACTAGCAGCTTTGATGGTTGTTTTCAGTTTTATAGCCCTTTCCTCCTATAGCTACATCTAGTTTATGTCTAACATTACTAGCAGGCTGAAGATAAGTAATAGTATATGAATTGTGTTTGTTGTGAAGAAAGAATGACGTGATCACTTGTCAGTATGAAACTTTTTGTTTAAGGAGATTACAGTCAGTTTTGCATTGAAACAAATCTCCCTCTTCTCTTCCAAACCCTCCTTGGAAGGCCCCATTTCCCTAGTACCCTTACAGTTTTCATTATATGCAGAACACCACACCTTGTCACTATTTTGTTTATGCTACAGTACTCAATACCATGAAGCTAAGACTTAATTTATATTACAGCCCCAAATTAGGGGAAAGAAGCAGGTCATCATTACCACATGAAATCAACATGGTCACTACTGTCCACCTGACAGCTCTGGGAATAGCCTATGCCAGTATACCAAACACATACTGTAGCATAGCCTCAGAGTTGCATTTATCCAGGCCAAGCCACTGAAGGCCTAACACATCCACTCCATCCTGTGGAATCCACAGGGAAAAGTCAGATACTGTGTAAAAAACAACAACAACAACAAAAAAAACCACTGACTTCCATATTCATTCAACCTGATGGAGCTGTAGGTGTCCCTGTTCACTGCAGGGAAGTTGGACCAAATGACATTTAAAGGTCCCTTTCAAATGAAACAATTCTGTATTTCTTCGTTACCTCCTTTCCTCAAAGGAGAGAGGCAGACAAAACGGAGCTCTCAGCAATAGGCCCATTAACTGAGCTAACAGGTCAACACAGAGGCTCAATGGTGCTCCCTGCGCTTTTGGCCGTGCTGCAGACAGGGACAGCCCGCAGACTGAGGCACAGCTGCTACAGCCCCACAGGTTTGCCCCCCTCCACCAACTTCCCAGTCTGGGCCACATAACATAACTCACACTGCCAACTTCGAGCAAATTAAGAAAACCAAACCCACATGCTTACAAACCGTTATGCCTCATCAAACGCTTAGCAGCAAACCGAGAAGCATCACGAGGCCCAAAAGCACTGGCACAACAGAAAGGGCCGCATCCACAACCCCGCCCGCCCCGAGCAACGAAGGGATAGAGCAGACCCCCGCCCCCGAGCGCGCACCGTCCATCGTCTCCCGCACGGCGTTGAGGCTGGCGGCATTGCTCGCCATGGCGACCGCCCACCCGGAAGCAGAAGGAACCCCCCCCCCCCCCCCCCCCCACGTCATTCGGGCGCTCCCGCCCCCCGCCTGCTCCTGTCACGTGACACCTTTCCCCCCCCGCCCCCCCCCAACGGAACCCTCCTCCTCAGCATCAGGAAGGCAAGGGGCGGGCTTACGTTCGAATTTGTGCAGCTGCTCTCCGAGCGATTGGCCCGTTTGTGAGCGGACGGAAGTCTACGATTGGTTCGGCGACGGCCGCGGCGCGCGTTGATTGGGCAGAATCCGGGAAGAGGCGGGGGTGGTTAAAGAGCCGCCCGGCGCGGCGGAGGCGGGCGGTTTAGATTGGAGTCGGGTACGAGCGGGCGTCGCGGCGGTGTTGGTGCGGGTAGCGGGGCCTCAAGCGGGCTGGCCGGGCCTGAGGAGCGGGGGGCGGCCGTTGGTGCGGCTGTCCCGTGGACACGCGACTCCCGTCCTCCGCTTCCCGCTGTGTGCGCTCCTTGGCCTGTGAGGAGCGCGGGGCCTTATCGCTGCGGGGCACCCCGGTTGCTGCTGACAGCTCCTCGTCTCTGAGGCCCCGCAGTGCTGCCGTTCGGTACGCGAGCTGCCGGCAGGAACGCGATTGGTTTCCTCCCTGCCGGTTTCTGTTTCAATCGCGTTTTCAGTATCTCGTTTCCTTTGGCTTTATTTTTTAAGTTTTGTCTTTGTGCCAGCCTCGTTTAGCGGCTTCTCACTCACCCAAGCCAGAGTCTGCTTTGCCGTTATGAGTTTTCTGCCTCTTCTGAGTGATCGGCTGTCTGCTGAAATGTTTAGGATGACCCTGACAAGTCAGAATGATGATTTCCTCCCCTCGCATTTCCCTCTTTCTCTTCCCCAGGCGCAGCGCACTGCTATGGGCGATACGGAAGAAGCCCGAATGCAGATCAGCCCTGAAACTCCCGGGCGGGTCACAGTCCTGAATCCTTTCGAAAGTCCCAATGATTACTGCAGCCTTCAGGAGCAGATTGTTTCCAGTCCTTCCGTCTTCAAATCAACAAAATCTTCATCTGTAAGATCTCATCTGCCATTGTATGCAGTGCTAATACTTCAAAACACGTAACACAGTGCATTTATTTGATGTAGAGTATACAACCCAAAAAACTTGAGGTGTTTTGTGGTTCTCCGTTACCTCAGTATGCTTCATTTAGTGCTAACACTGTAATTTCATCTTCCCACCTTCTTGATAATGAAACTAAAAAGAGTGTTTTGCTAGATTGTTTTTCTAAATGCTACTTGCTCCGTATTTTGTACTAAAGTGTTACGTAAATGAATTACACTGCTTTATTCCCAAACTGGATTTTATGAACTGTGCCTGACAGTGCCTCAATGTGAGTCTCTGTGGCCTGCTTATAGGATGTCTTGTGTCTCCCATGAAATGTAAAGTAAAAGGAAGGTTGTTATACTGTCCTGGCTTGGATGATGATTGAAGTGCTTTCAGGGAGCCACAGTTTTCACTGTGGCCATCAAGAAACAACTAAACTTTATCCCATGTTTCAGATCTTTAGTGGGCCTATCCTCAGAAATGGAGGGGGAATAACATGACATCTTGGTTAGTAATTGTTAGTAGTCTTTCACTTAATATTATCTCATAATTATTTTAATTCCATTATCAAGACAAAAAAGCCTGATTTAGCTGCCTTTTAAAAAAAATATTTTTAAGATCAGTATTCACATGTTCATTTCTTTTTTTTTAGACTCCGGGAAAATTTAGATGGTCTATTGATCAGCTTGCTTTAATAAATCCTGTGGAAATTGACTCAGAAGATATCCGACGCCAAGCGATGTATTTGAGTCACGCTAGGTAACTTACCATCTGTTTTTATGCTGTTAACTTAGCTTGAATAGCAGAACACTGTTCATTTGCTTTAGTGATATTTCTCACATCATTAAAAACCTTTCATTCAAGTTTTTCAACATACATTTTCTTGTTCCTGATGTGAATATAATATTTAGATGAGGCCACTTCTGGGTTGCTGTTTTTTCATTTTAAGAATTGCAGATCCTCTCTGATTGCAGCTTTGGAGGACAGTCAGATACAGCAGTCAGCAGAAGCAAGAAAAATGCCTTGCCAATAACTGTTGTCTGGCTATCTCTCCTGCTTCTTGTCACAATGCTATTTATCTTCTTGGAGTGTACAGTACTGGGACCTATGAAGCATAAGTGACTCCTGCGGGACTTCTGCAGAAGGATAGAGTTGGCAAAGGCAGTGTTATTTGAAAGGTACAGACTGGAATTAATGTGAGGGAGGAAAGACCAATAATCTTGCTCTCTTTGAGGAGAAGACTACTAGTTGCGTAAAGTAATTTGGGGATCTTTATCTCAACTTTCCTTTCTTTGATTCTTCCTGTGGGTACAATAAATGACTGAAGTAAAACAGGCTTGCTAGTAGTCATGGATCCTATTGAGGGATTGTATTTGACACTAATGTGGCTTAGGTGACAGTTCAAGTGATGATTAGTGCTGTGGCCAATAGACATAAACATGTGTTGTCTTAGTGGGTCCTTTCAGTCTGTCCCATTGCTTCATGCAATGTTTTTCAGTCTGTCTAGATGTGGTGTGGCCATGGCTGCCTACTGCAGTGTCATACAGAAGAGGAGGTTGTTTCTGAATATGTGATTGAATGCATAGAGGTCTAAGCATATAAAACTGTATGGCAACTCATTTTAATGTACATAGCTTTATGGAAACTAAAGAGTGTCATAAATACAGCTCTTGGCATTAAATCTGCCAGATGAAAGAATTGACTTCTTGAAACCTGTGTAATGTTGCACAGACTGTATGCTTGATTTTAATAATGCTTGTGAACAGTTGCAAATAATCACAAGCATAAGGAATTTGGTGAATATTTTCAACAGTTAATTCTCCATTATGTAATGGAAACACTGGGTAGCAGCAGTGTGAAAGCTTCAGAGTGCTTTGCAAAGTCTGAATGTGCATCATGTGCAGACTTAGATTTTTGCAATATTACTGGCCATCTATGCTGTATGCCTACTGCACTGTTTGTATAATGATTAGAAGCACTTTTTTTCTGTCAGAGAAAAGTAACAGGTATATCAGTAATTGTCTGATAATTAATGTGACACAGCCTGTTCAGGAACTTTCCTTTTTAAGTTCTATTCTTAAAAATCAAATGTTTGTAAACTTGATGATAAGTAATATTTATATAATTATATTTTAAATATTACTTTAAAAGGAAAAATTTATACTGTCTTGTATGCTGCGTGTCATAGTAGCAAGTGCTCTGTTGCTCGAAGTTGTGTGTGAGTCTGGCTCAGTATTATTCCTTCTGAATACATAATGGCATTTTCATTTTATTTTTCTGGAGTTATGCACTAGAGAAAATCTATCCCATCTGCTGCACTAGCCAGCACTTCTAGTAGGAGATGGTATTCCCAGTTTCATTGTTTCTCCTTTGGAATCTGGCTTGTAGAGACACTTATAAATCATGATTCACTGTGCATAAACAGTGATTGTATGCATGTTCTTTTAGTATGATAGTGATATTTGTGGCAAGTGTCTTCACTGAACTGTCATAATGTCTTCAGCATGGTCCAATGTAACTGAAGATAGCATCTCAAAGTATTGCAGATCTGTCCGATTCCCATTAAGGAGGGCTATGAGAAATTTTATGTACAGGTACACCTGTACATGTTTGTGTAGCAAATAATGTCTGTTATCTGACTCATTTCTAAAGTGATATACTCAGAGATACTTAGTATATACATGAAAGTATTATGTGATTAATCTTCCTAAGATCATGAATGTTCATTGTAATCTTTTTGAAGCTTATTAAAAAACACCCTAGAATATTTGAATGTGACAATTAAAGGAAGTAGAAATGCAGAACATGAGACATCATTTGGAGATGGCTGAAGTAAATACAATTCTTTTTCTAAAGAAAAGTTATTTTGTAATTTGGACTTCTGCTTTCATTTAATTGTTACTTTTTACAAAGGTGTTCAAGGGAATGTGTTAGCTGATTCAAATTGAAATACAATGTTTTGTTCTTGAGCCGAAGAAAATATGGCAGTACAGCCATTTGAAAGGGGGAACTCTGCTGGGAAAGTAGGCTGTCTTGGGAATTTGAGAATGCAAACATCTTATAAATTCTTCTGATTTTGTAAGCCTACTTTCACGATAATCTTAGCAGTAAAAGGTATTCATCTGAAAAGTTCAACATAACTAGATGGATTATTTTGGAAAATCAATTATTATTGACTTTTTGTTGTGATAAAAAGCTTGCTAGTGCAAGGTTTAAATAGGGCAGTGAATCTGTACTTAGGAATTGTATACATCTTTTTCAAAATCATTGTAGTAACTGAAAAGAGGTTAACTGTTTCTAAGTTTATGGTATGAATTCATTGCTTGTAACTGTAAAATATTTTAAGATGGGGTTAAATTTTATTTATTTGTTTTTTTTCAAGTCATGGAATCATAGAATTGCTCAGGTTGGAAAAGGCCTTAAAGATCTTCAAATCCAACCACAGCATCACCATACTACCCTAACTCTAACAACCCTCTGCTAAATCACGTCCCTGAGCACCACATCCAAATGGTTTTTAAACACGTCCAGGGATGGTGACTCAACCACCTCCCTGGGGAACCTATTCCAGTGCTTAACAACCCTTTCTGTAAAGAAGTGTTTCCTGATATCCAACCTAAACTTACCTTGGCACAACTTGAGGCCATTTCCCCTCATCTGTCAGCTGTCACCAGTGAGAAAAGACCAAAACACTCTCGCTGTAATCACTTTTCAGTCTATAAAAATAGTTGAACTTTTTTTTTTTTCTTTCCCCAATAGTGATTTTTGGTAACTTAATTAGTTTTTTGTTGTTGTTTTTCCTTAGAATTGATAAGGAGACAGAAGAGAGGAGGCAGAAGGCCATTGAGGAGGTAATAAAGATTTCTGTACTTAAACATTGTTGGTTTATTTTAGCTGTATGTCTAAAAAAAAAAAAAAAATCATGTTGATTATAGAACTTCGAAGTCCAGAGGCCTACAGTGTTTTACTGATTGGTAAGAAAGTAATTTTTGCATCC